CTTTTGAATTTTTATAATAATTTACGTATACTTACGGTCGATTTTGTATAATTTTATACATAAGAGGATTAGTAAATGTAGGATCATCTAATTCATTGTGACCCCATCTTCTGAAACAATTTAGATCAATAAATACATTCTTTCTGAATTGCCTTTGATATTTAAAAGCTATTTTTGTAGCCCGTACAACCATCTACAATATATTTTAAAGTCATTATTTTATTTTATAAGTCAAAATTTTATTTTTATATTAGAATAGAAAAGAATTTTATTTCAAAAATATACCTCAGGATCGTCACCATTTACATGAATGACAGGTGCAGATATCATCTTTGCTAAATCTGTACAATATCTTGATGATCGACCTCTTGAAGATGGAGTTGTAAAACCTATTTGATTATTAATTACTAAATGAATTGTACCACCAATTTCAAAATGAGGCGTTTTGCTTAAAGCTAAACATTCCTGATTAACTCCTTGCCCTGGATAAGCGGCATCTCCATGTATCTAAATATTTTAAATATTGAATAATAATGTAAATAATAATAATGATTTTATTTTTAAATATAAAAGTAAATACAATAAGAAAAAAATAAATGCCAATTAAAAAGTTTTTTTTTAATATTCGTATAAAAAAAAGTTCTTTTAGAAACTAGATGTTTCCCATAGATAAATTTCTGGCCAAATTTGGTTAAAAATAAATCTGTCCTTTAAATTTATGTATCTAGAATTTTAAAAATAACTTGCAAAGTTTGTAAAATCCCTAAAGTAACGTACTTCATGCACACACATACTTGTACACACATTTTATTTTCTTAAATGGGGAACTCATACTTTATATAACATATTCTTATAGCCGACATTGAAATATTTTTCAAACACTGGTTACAAACTTTTTTTTGAATAAGAACTTATGTCTTCAAAGTTTAAATATTGCCAGCATTAACACTATGATCAATATGACCAATATGACGTACCAATCGCTCTTGATGAGAGCATGTGTGATGAGTTTAGCGCCTTTTTTGAAAAGGCTAATTTTAATAAGATTTATAACTTACTTGTACATTTATTACTTTATCGCTCCATTGCGCGTCTTTATTATCACCGTATGCGGCTTCTTTAATCTCCTGCATGACTCCTCGTGTTTTTCCCATCGACACGGGATTTACTGTTTCCAAATGCGATGGATTTCGAAGCATGGTTACATGAAGATTCGTTTTGCCTATGTTAAGGTCGGTTGAGCTTACGAGATGGCTAATCACATCTCCGGTACATTTATCCGTCGCGTCCGAAAATTCAGACAAGCCTCGTAATTTACGAAATAATTTCTCCGGTGGGAAGTTCAGTAATCCCGTTAGTAGATTAAGACGGCCGCGATGTGCACCGCAAACAATCACGTGTTCCAAATTATCTAGAATGATAACGTCAATTAAGTAAATTTCTACACGGATACTATTTTGCTATCAGAAAATTGCGTAGTCTGTTAAGAAAAATGATTTAGAAAAGATGATTTTTCAAAGAGTATTTTTAATTGAGCTGAATGTTTATTAATTACCATAGGCACATAGTTTAAAAAACTCATGAAAGAAAGCCATCATACTCTCGGCTCCTTCTCCTCCATATCTCTTTAGACTGACAAATTTTTTTGCCAGAAAGTCGTCGAAAGCTTGACTCTTGAGCATTTCTGTGGCTATTGTTTTGCGCGTCTCATTGTTCAATGGCTCGGCTAAAATTTTTTCTACAGTTTCAGCAAACCATTCCCTTTCTTCTTCCGTCTACTCGAAATCAAAATTCCTTTATTAAATTCCGATTTAATCAATTTTTTATTAAGAAAACTTGCAATTCATTGAATAAGAGAAAATGTAAATATACAATTTTTCCTAATAATCAAGTTTAATTCATAGAATTTATTAATAAAAGATTTGAAAGAAAATATTTATTATCATTTTTTAAAAATTGTAGCAAAACAAAAGAAAAAAGCAGTATTAAAAGAAATGTGTTTAAAGTTTTATAATAAATTTTCAATTTTATTCTATTCATATAATAAAATATATTTATTTGTCTCGACAATTATTATAAATTAAGATATCAAAAATTTATTTAAAAATTAGACAGATCTATTTAAACTTATAAAACACGAAAATGGATCTTCTTTCAAAAAATTTCTTTCAAGATTTTCACGTATATTGTTTTTCGTGTATTTCATCAAATGTTTAATGTTTAACGTTTTATACAAGATAGCGATTTTTCTATCAAAATTGATATTTAAATTATTCAGTACATTCAAATATCGATAATATCAATTAAATATTGTTTATATTTAAACTGATGAACATGCAGCATAATAACTTGTCCCACGAATCATTGCAATGTCATGCATTTTCCCGATTTAAATTTAATTTTTTTATGTCATGTAACTTAATTTTAAAGATTTTTCAAAGAAAAAAATTACCTCGAGGTAACTAAATTCAGTTCCAACGGTACCACTATAAGTAGCGTGTAAAAATCGAATGGCTTCGTCTATCGTTCCTTCATCTTTTTGCGTATACAAAATTCCACGAAAACGGACTTTATCTTGGAAATTTAATCCAAAATTTTTTGGCTGCAATTCAGATAATAATTGTGGCTTGCAGATTGAAATAGAATCTAAGTCGGCTTGTTTATGTCCATGAGTTCTGTATGCACTGACTAATCTATAAAAATTGCTTTGTCTCGTTCGTTCATCCAGATGTTCTTTTGGCACTGAAAAAGTGATAATTATTCACATATTATGAATTTTAAATGTGAATAATATCAAATGAAATTGTAAATCGTTTCATTTTCTGTGAAAATTACACACTTTATTAACGTTAATATCTATGTATTTAACAAAATAATGCATTTTGATTTTACACAAATCAAATGTATTTCACGAACCGAGCTTTATTTACATCACATTTCTAACGTAGTAAAGTGAACAGGGCTGTGCAAAAAAATTTCAGGATCCTAGTAAAGAGGGACTTTTATCTATTAAAAAATTAAAACTAATTAAAATTTATAACACTACCAATAAAAACAATAATCAGTACAAATGAAAAATAGTTGTACTTTCGATTAAAATTTCGATAAAATCCCTCTTGGTGCACCCTTTATCCCCACCGCCACTCATCATTTGCACCGCCCTGAAAATAAATTTCAAATGTAACAGCAACACGTAAGACAAACTTGAGTTCACTGTTCGATTTCACAATTTCTCTGGTGGAAATTAGTATTAAATTCATTATTACAGATTTGTTTATTTTTAATTTTATTTTATGTTTGTATCTGTATTTTTAGCATCATGAACGAAACGAACAAGACAAAATATGCCTCACATGAATTACTTCTATAGCGAAAAAAATTAAATCCGTCATTTTCGATTCTTCAATAAATGAAATACCTTCGAAGTGCTTTCGTTGGTTCGGCCTGTAGCCGTAAACGCCATTTTCGCTGTGATACAATTTATCACTTGTGCAACAAGTCGGCCATCTCAATCTGACATACGAATTGTATTTCTTCAGCACGAATTTTTCAATTGCATACATCCTTCCAGCGAAGCGTCCTCACGACAATTATTGGTTCGACTGCTTTTACGCTACTCATCAAAACTGTTACTCATAAAATCATTTGCCCCCTCCATAATACTTTTTATAATATGTACAAACATCATATACAGTTTTAACTTCTTGCCTGTTCCTTATCTGTTTACGCTTCTCTATCTGTTTCGCTACATGGATTATCTTTCTGAAAAATATATAGACCTCACACGTACCGACCTCCTCATTACTTTCTTCTGTTGTATAACAGATAAATATCGAAATATTAAATATCTATTATGAACATTTTAGCTATGAAAAAGAATTATTAAAATTAAATATTTCTAATTTTAATTTAAATGGCTGCTAGAAAAGAATTTAAAAATTTTACTAATTTTTATTATTTCTTGTGACAAATTAATAATTTTTTTTATAAAATAATCGTTTTAATAAGTGAAAGTGAAAGATTAAAATATACGATATTTCTAAAAGGTAAAAAAATTAAGTAATTTTCATTAAATGACTTTATTATTGGTAATTCTATATAGAATTTCTACAAGGCGTTTACATTATATTAAACTTATGCTAATAAAAATTTAATCCAGTTCTAATGGAGATCTATTATGGAGGTAATATGAATTTTTATAAAAGTCTATTTAACTTCTACTGTGAAAGTAAATGTCGCATGGAGGCTATAAGTTGTAATTAGTGATAAAATATAGATAAAAAAATGTATATTGTGTTATAAATAAATGTAATGATAAAAAGAATATATATTATATGTATACGCGATTTTTCTTTGTCTATATTTTTTCCATTTTTCTGCATTTGTGAGAATCCGTTCACTTATTTCGCATAAGAACTCGCGCTATCAGAAGCTGATATTGCCTCTAATTATATAAAATAATATTCTGCACGTAAAAATAAAATTATCAAAATATCAAATTTACGAAAATTTTATACTTTATTCTAGTATACCGTAACATGAATAAAATATCTCGTAAATTATTCATTTTTTAATAACAGTACTTCAATATTTTTATACAATAATGAAGAGAATGAGGTGAATCAATTTGTATAAAACAAATAAAGAAAATAAATTAAAAAAGTTAATAAAGAAAATATTTAAAAAATTTATTCGATTCAAATTTTCTTCTTTATAAACTTTGCAAAACTTGATTCATGACTGAAATTCGAAATATCTACAAATCTATTTGAATCCGATTGTTGGTGATAACAGATTGTGAGACCATATATCGTTGTTAAGATCATTTTGAGCATTTATTTTGATTAAAGTAATTTGTTTACAGTTTATGTTAATTGTAATAATAATAATAAATAGCAAAATTTACAAAATTCATCAGTGATATCTTTAAGAAGCCTGCAATTTAGAATGTAGGCGTTCTCGCATTTGTATGTATATACTTGTATGTATACACTCTGTGTATAAATTTGTTTTATCCTTATGGTCAATAAAATATCTATAATTATTAAGCTATTTATATTTTGACCAGATCTTTCATAAACACCCTGTATATTTATACATGTTTATAATTACTTTTTTGTATAAATCATTCGCAGACTACAATTCTTTTTAGTATTTGCAATTTTTGTATCCGATGCAACTAAAAGCATAATTGGTCTATTATCAAAAAATAAGTCATCGGAGAAGTTCATACTATAGTATATAAAAATAAATTTTTATTTATATGCACTGGAAGATAAAGTATCCTGCGATACAATTGTTGCATGTTCAAAGGATATATGGATATTCCTCGATGTAGTTTTTAATTAAGAGTGGCAAACGTTCGGTGGACAACTTGCTTCTATTCACGGCGAGTCTGGCCAAATGTGATAGTGATCTAACTTCTTTGAGAATGGGATTGGTCAAATATATCTGGCTGTACAGTTGTCCATTGTAATCGACCCACACTTCTCTACGATGCTCGTCCATTTTCTTCGAATATTCGATATAATGTTCCAACATTCTGATAGGATTATCGAAAAATGGCATCGCTAACGCTAAACTTGGTTCAGCATCAAGTCGAAACCGTCCAAGAAAATAGTGTACCCTAATGGAAGCAGGGCCTCTGGATGTTTGTACAGATATTGCAAAAGTGTATCTACTGTCCGAACTATCTCTCATTAGCCATCGACCTACAGATGAGTTCTTCAAAAGATTTTCACTTTGCTGCCAACTGATACCTTCATGATACCAACCACAAATTTGCAATAATCTTTTTATCTCGCGCAATTTATTTATATCTGAATCCTGATTCCGGAGAGTCGGCATGAGACAGGGTACTGGGGCAGTCAGTGTTTCATCTCTTTGCTCAATGTTGGTATAATGCTTACTACTTTCAGTTGCGACAGTTTGATTCTCCATTGTACAGTTTAAGTCGTTCGGTTGCACAATACCACCTCCATGGAAATTATTTCTACCATGACTCGGCAGCTTCATAGCCACGATTTTTTTCGGTGGTGTTGTCGTTGTTGCTGTAATATTTACTGTGCACTGACCTAAGCTTGCGGGTAGCTGTACGGTGGCGTTTACTTGGATTTGTACGCTATTACCGACAGGTTCCAGTAACACGGAATCACGATTATTAGTAAGAGATGCATCAAACGGTTGTCTGTGATATTGACAATGATTTTGTTGAAACGCGTTTTTGCAATTGCAGCAATCATTTGTTTTAATTACATTGGGTATTTTTTGCTGTCTCGATCTGAGATTCATTATTTCGTTATTCTCATCGTCCTTTATTGTTTCGGATGGCAATGTCTTTATATTTTTAGACAATTCAAAACTACCACTGGGAGGCGTAACAAATGTCTGATAAACATCATTATTGACGAGCATGAAGTCTTTCATGTGTTTAGATGTAGTTAATCGTTCATCTTCAGTGGACAGTTCTTTCTTTTGCACAAGACAACCGCCGCCAGTAAGCTTTGGCTGAATTTTAATTTGTGAAGCTTGAACCAAAATTTCAGTTTCTGTATTTTGTATTAGGCAACCACCGGATTGTATATCGGGTGTAGTAATTGTGACGCTACCACCAGTGAGTTCGCGCGTTGTTGCGACATATTGTTGCGAAGGTGTCATTTTATAGTTAATATTTTCTGTTACTGCAATAAGAGAATCTTGATCATTTAATTGACATATTGGCGATTTTAATAGTGGATGGTGACTTTGTTTCATCGATGACATCTGTATATCATAAGGAAGTTCCATTATATCAGAACTGATAATTTTAACATTGGAGCCGCAATTAGTTGTATGTGACCGTAGTACAGTGGACTCATGAGTAATTGTTGATGAATTTATAAAACAATCACTGTCGCTAATACAATTACATGGTGCTGGGAGACCACTAACATAATAGGTTGTTGTTGTTGAACAAACACTATTAGCCATTTTTCTTTTTTCTTTTCCTCTTTCCTCTTCTTCTTCCTCTTCCTTAATTTCATTCTTCTTTTTCTTTTTGTCCTCTTCTTTCTTGTCATCCCTTTTTATCTCATTTTCCTTCTCTTCTTCTTCCTCTTTCTCTTTCATTTTCTTTTGTTTAGTCCCATTGCTTCCTTTCAAACAACATCCTAGCACTGGAAAGCGATGGTGACATTTTGGACAAATCACTCTCAACATCATGTATATATACTTGCAAGTGGCCTACTGAAAATCAGCATAACACTGTTTACTACTTTAATCTGAAATAATACAATAATAAATGATATTAACATTAAACTACTATTAAATAAAATCATACAAAATAAAATTATTCAATTATATAAATTGTAAAATTAAATTGATAAATTGTATATATAATCATAAAAAATATTGTAAATATATTTTTCAGTAAAAATTTTTGTGACACGTAAAATCCATTAGAAATTATATATATAAAATAAGCATTTAAAAATGATATCAAGAGAATATAAAATTTTAAACTTCACATATTGAGCATTTCACATATTTCACATATTTAAATATTTTATGCTTAAAATGATCTATAATCCATATAGATTCACAATAAAGCTATATTTATAATTTATATATGCTACATATAAAACTTTATTTTTTGTTTGGAATATTGTCATTACAAGATAATTATCTAATTCAGTAAAAAGATTATTTATTTACAAATTATCATATTAAACAAATATTCTTAACAATAATTATATATTATTTTTTTAATTTCTTACCAAAGTATATTTTGCTTCTTTGCCTTCTTTGAAGCCTTTTTATTCAAATATGTATAAATACAATTCAGTGACATACTATTTCCTTTCTTTAAACAATAATAAGATACTGTTAAAAATAACCAATTCTTGATAAATTTTTGCAGCTGTCAAATGAGTGGCCCAGAGATAATTGACAAATATCGTGTTGATTTCATCAACTGTCAGCAAAAATACTTGAATAATTATTTAAGTATAATAATTAATAATTTTTAATAATTATACAAATGCTTTATAAATAAGGATACAAAACTTTAAAATACAATAAAATTATATATACATATATAATTAGAAAATTGCATATTTTTATAATTTTATTATTAATATGAGTTTACTAATCAAATAGGAACAATAGAAGTGTAGTTATAAATAAAAATTAAATATTACTGTTTGTAGATATATGTATATATTTACGAAACATCAAGATATAATAATATAAATCGTCAAGCTAATTTTATAAACTAACCATCCAAATTTTGGCAATCACACAAACTTCCATAAGACTGTTGGTCTTTAATAATACCTTGTCGATGTTTCAACTAAAATCACAGCTACTTGTGGATACCTATATAATCATTCTCACAAAATAATCAATCCATCTGTTTCAGCTAAAATCTTCTATACACTAGAGTTTACCACTCGAAACAAAGGTATCTTGAATATTCCGGAGGATTTGTAACAAGGCATATATCTTTTAAATAATATATCAAATATGAAATATTTCACTCGTTTACTTATACTCACGCGATCAAAGAATAAAATGTAACCTAACCTAATCTAACCTAACTCAGTACATCTCATAAAGCAATGACCAGAAAACACTAACAAACTCAGATAACTGCGAACGAACGACTGATATGAGCAGAGAAAAATCTGAGAGCGGCCATCTCGCTCTTTTTCGTACGAAAACTATAGTGTAATCAAAAGTATTGAAACTATAGTGTAATCAGGGAGTCGATTGTGTATCTTTATATGAGTTGGAAATGACAAAAGTGAGGAAATTCGCTAGAATATCTGCAATGTCTTCATATGTCGAAAGTTAATAAATTTCCTCACTTTTGTAATTTTCATCTTGCTTCAAGATACACGATTAACTTCCCGGAAGTCGATTATGTATCTTGAAAGAAATAGGATGAAAATAATAAAAGTGGAGTGGAAATTTACAGTTTTCGATATGTGATGTGCAAATACTCTAGTGAATTTTTTCAGTTTTGTAATTTTCTTTATTTCGAAAAATAATACAATTGTCTCCTTGATCATAATATGTAATGCTGGATTCGGACCAGCGTGACGCGACACGCGATGCGCGATATCCAATGAGCGTACTGCTTTTCCGAGAAAAGCTGTACGCGTCGCTTGTCGCGTCCTGTGTGTGTAGAAGTCATATAATTTCATAAAGTTGCGTCTCAAAGCTTTGGTGGAAACTAGGCTAGTGATGGCATGACGTGTCTTGTCAGCGTGCATCGGACGCATGCGCAATGCCACCTTACGTGGCATCGGCAGCAGTCAAAGTGATTAGTTACGTTGACGTATATCTCTCTTGCACGTTATCGCCTAAACTTTCTCTACGATATTAAAATTTGTTATGATTCAAACATTATATAATACAACGTAAGTATATTTTATATGTAAAATACTTATACGTAAAGTTTGTTTGTACTTTTGCATGTGCTAACTCCGAGATTCAAAATGTGCTACATATGCATTTATTATTTCCAGTCCATTATTATTTAATGTTTTATTGTATTTTACACTTTATTTAAACGAAAGTTTACAATATGTATACACATAAAACATACTATTTTCGATATATCTATATTATAAAACAAACATGACATTTTTCTCGTGTGTAGGTTACCTTTCACTTCTTGAAATATTTTAGATTTTTTTTATTTATTTTATTGTTTCTTATATAATAAATAATATTTCGCTTATTTATATCATATATTATAGATATTGAATATTATAAATAATAATAATGGTATATATTGAAATATTTTATATATTTTTTTACTAATTTACTTTGTTATTTTTATATAAATTGAATATCTATATGATAATTTAAATATATTTTTAAATATATATATGTATATAATTTGTATTTATGATAAACTTTATTGCAACAGATGCAGCACGTTCAGGAAATAGGAAGGCAGCATCCATATGTACCCCCAATAAATAATCAACAAAAATTTATGAAACCACCACTTGTAGGCGAACAAAACTTGTCAAGTTCACATATGCAGTCTCACTCACTGTCTACACAACCTGTGGATTACTCTCAAATAATGAGTCCTACAGTGACAGGTGTTCCTGGTTCTCAAATGCCTCCACCTATAGGTCCTCATGGACAATCGTCTATAGGTTATCATGGAACTAATCACCCAAATGCAATTCATGGGACTAATGTCCTAAATGCGACTCATGGGACTAATCTCCCAAATGCAACTCATGGGACTAATCTTGCAAATGCAGCTCATGGGGCTAATCTTACAAATGCAGTTCATGGGACTAATCTCCCAAATGTTAACTTACATCAACCTGGAGTAGGATCATATAATCCTATGCCACCTCTATCGTCACAAGTTGTAACAGCTCCAACAGAATCAGATTTATCACAATTTCCTCCTCCTCTTTCAACGACGGGACAACCTACATCGAGTCCTCCAGGGTCCAACTTTTCTCAAACTCGGCAAAAGCAATATTTACAAACTGCACCTCCAATGCCAGGCCAAACTATGGCAAGTCCTGTAGGACCAAATTTATTGCAACCTGGACAAAGACAATATAATTCTACTTTGCCTCCATTACCAGGACAAACTTTATCCAGTCCCTTAGGAATGAATCGTATGTCACCTGGTACTACCCCAGGTTATCAACAATTAGGATATCAACAGCCAGGATATCCTAACCAGATGGTATACCTATATATTTAACAAATTTTTTATTTGCAGAATAATTTAAAATATTTTCTTATTAAAAAAAGTGACGATTATTTTTATCTAGGATATGTATAATAATCAAAGAAATCTATATCAGAGTGGTACACCTAATGCTGCAGGATATCAACCAGGACTGCAACCTCAACAAGCTAGACGCCTTGACCCAGAACAAATGCCAAGTCCAGTATGAGATTTCTTTGCCAATATTATAATGTTAAAGAAAATAAATATGAGATTAAACTACATATCTTTAATATATAGATTCAAGTGATGCAAGATGATCAAAATATGAGAGGTGGAGTCTTTATAACAAATCAGAAAGGTCTGGTACCACCTTTGGTAACAACAAATTTTATAACACAGGATCAAGGAAATGCTTCTCCTAGATATATTAGATCCACTATGTATACTGTCCCCACTACTGCTGATATGATCAAGCAGGTATATTAAGTTAATTAAGTAATAAGTTGATTGTATAGTCTAGCTGTTTTGTCAGCTGTTTTTTCATATTATAATACATTTATATCTTATATAGACTAATGTTCCCTTTGGACTTGTAATAAGTCCAATGGCTCGTATTGTGCAAGGAGAATGTGAACCACCAATTGTAGATATGGGCGAAATTGGACCGGTTCGATGTGTACGTTGTAAAGCTTACATGTGTCCATTTATGCAATTTATTGATGCTGGCCGAAGATTTCAATGTATGTTCTGTAAAGCAACGACAGAAGGTAATAATTAAGAATTACTTAAAAATTATTTTCTAAGTAGTTGTAAATTTTTGTATCAGACATATCTTTATGTAATATTTTTTTGTATTCAGTTCCAAATGAGTATTTTCAACACTTGGATCATACAGGTCAGCGTTTAGATCGCTATGAAAGACCTGAATTAATGTTGGGTACATTTGAGTATACAGCTACAAAAGATTATTGCAGGGTAATATAAATTAACCAATATATTTAATATGATTTACATAACATCCAATAAAATTATTTTCAAGATTTGTTACAATATGAAGTAATTATATTTACAAATATCTTAGAAAATTAGAACGTAAAACAAAATTGAGATTATTTAAGCCTGTTAAACTTATAAATTTATATGTTGATTCTTATTTGTTATTCTTTTTTTTCGTAGGATAATGTTTTTCCAAAATCACCAGCCATTGTGTTCGTTATTGACGTATCGTATAATACAGTTAAATCTGGATTAGTGAATTTATTATGTACAAAAATGAAATCCATAATAAAGAATTTACCTATTGATGCGGGACAAACGAAAAGTAACATGAAAATTGGCTTTATAACATATAATAATACCGTGCATTTTTATAACATTAATCCTTGTCTTGCTCAACCACAAATGATGGTTGTTGGAGATATTCAAGATGTGTTTATGCCGCTTTTAAACGGATTTTTATGCGATGTTGAGGAGAGCGAAGCAGTTATTGATAGTCTTATGACTCAGATTCCTCAAATGTTCGCGGACACACGAGAAACAGAAACAATTCTTGCTCCTGCTATACAAGCTGGATTAGAAGCATTAAAGGTATTAAAATAATATGATTGGATAATCTGGATAAGAAATTAAATCTGAAAAGATTATAGATAAAATTCTTTTTTTTATTATTTTTTTATTATTATTTTATTAGTGATTAAACACGAAACAAATTTAATAGAAAGTGAAAATAATTTTTCAGTACAAATATATTTTATACAAAAAAATATAATTTTATTTATGATTTTAGGCATCTGAATGTTCTGGTAAATTATTGGTATTTCATTCATCTTTACCAATTGCTGAAGCACCTGGAAAATTGAAAAACCGTGATGATCGTAAAGTGCTTGGGACAGATAAGGAGAAAACGGTATTGGGTATGTATTTTATAATATATATTTTAGTATTTTAATATTTTAGTATTTGAGTATATATTTTATGGTACTTAGGATAGTTATGATTTATAACTTATGTAAAATAATCTTGTTTTTTTACAGTACCGCAAAACAATGCATATAATAATTTAGGTCAAGAATGCGTTGGTGCAGGTTGCAGCGTAGATTTGTTTATCTTTAATAATTCATACGTAGATCTAGCAACGATTGGTCAAATTTGTCGTCTCACTGGTGGAGAAATTTACAAATATACTTATTTTCAGGTAGAGAGAGATAATAGAAAGATAATAGAAATGTATATGTAAATATTAATCGAGTATTAAAATAGTATTTTATGTTAGATTTTATACATCCATAAAATCAAAATAATCTTTATTAATAGATCTATTTTTGATATTTCTATTGCAGGCTGATATTGATGGTGAAAGGTTAATTTCAGATGTTATTAATAACATTAGTAGACCAATCGCTTTTGATGCTGTTATGCGAGTACGTACATCTACTGGTGTTAGAGCAACTGACTTCTATGGACATTATTTTATGTCCAATACAACTGATATGGAATTGGCCAGCATAGACTGCGATAAGGTATAGCTGTGTATTATAACTATTCAATTGTTATAATTATAGAAAGAATTGCTTTAATATTATAAAATGACAAATTATTTATTAGTTATTTCTATATTTTTAACTTTATTTTATTTAATTGACTTAGTTTTTAATTCTCACAGGCTATTGGAATAGAAATTAAACACGATGACAAACTGACAGATGACGAAGGTGTATATATTCAAGTGGCTTTGCTATATACTTCTTGCGGTGGTATTAGAAGATTGCGAATTATAAATCTGAGTTTGAAAACCTCATCGCAAATGATTGAGCTATATCGCGCATGTGACTTGGATGCTATTATAAATTACTTCTCTAAGCAAAGTAAGATATGTTATATAATTAAAGAAAAATAATGCTTGTTCAAATAATAATATGCTTATTATACATGCACTTATAGGTATTTTTAAATTATTGGAATCTACTCCAAAGACAGTAAAAGATAATTTGATTGCACGATGTGCAAATATGTTGGCTATATATCGAAAGCATTGTGCAACACCATCCAGTGCTGGTCAATTAATATTACCAGAATGCATGAAATTGCTTCCACTCTATATAAACTGTTTATTAAAAAATGATGCATTATCAGGAGGTAAAAGCATTTAAGGACATTTTATTGTCGACGTCTTTATTTATACACTAACATTAAATTTATCTTCTTTTTTTTATTTTAGGAGCTGATATGACTATTGACGATCGATCTTATGTTATGCAAGCAGTTGCAACTATGCCTGTTTCCATATCTGTTGCATATATTTATCCCAGATTATTTCCCTTGCATGACATCGATCCTCAAGATACGGAACTGCCTCCAATGTTACGTTGTTCTATCGATAAATTTACGGATGATGGTGCTTATTTACTCGGTAATATTATACAATATTATATATTGTTATTATATATAATACAAAATATTGATCACTATAACCAGGATAAAATTAGTAATAACCTAATTCAATCAAGTTTTTTAAATTTAAAAAACTATTATTTACTATAGTAGTTTTTTATAATATGGAATTTTCGCAACATAATTAAATATAAATTTAAATATAAATTTCATTACAATTAATATGTACATGTACAACAATGTAATGAATTTATGTTCAGTTAATCATTTATAATTCTTCATTCAATATAGATAATTTATTCACAAAGATCTAATATTTTATTATAAAAATCTTATTCATCTTATTCTTAAAAAAAATACAAAATTTTTTCTTAAGATTATAATTTTAGAAAACTTAATTACAATATAACATAATTATACCTAATATTGAATAGGAAACTCTTTGTAGCAATGTGTAGTTCAGTAAATTATTAAAATAAATTCCTTTTATTACTTTAAAGCTTGTATAATTGTAGCATATTAAAATATTTTTGATTTAAAAATTATAGTATAAAAAAATGCTACAAAGGTTTTGTTTCTTTTTTTTTTTTTTTTTTTAATATGTTTATCTGAGTAATTATTATATATTGTTTTTATATAGATATAAGAAACAATATCAATATTATTGTATTTTTTGGCATTCTGTATTAGAAAACACCATCCATATGTTTTTATGGTTGGGTATGTCACTTTCTTCCCAATGGGTACAAAGTGTCTTTGGTGTACCTTCAGTAGCCCAAGTCGATACAGATCGTGCTGCGCTGCCAATATTGGACACTCCTTTAAATAACAGAATTACGAACATTATCAATCGGATACGTGCTGAAAGGCATCGTTGTGTGAGAGTAAGTTGCTTAATGTAATAGAAATCGCACTAAATTGATCAATTCATTAATACTACTTTATTTCTTTGTTACAGTTGACAATAGTAAGACAACGTGAAAAATTGGAAATGATATTACGTCATTTCTTGGTTGAAGATAGAGGAAATGATGGAAGTCCTAGCTATGTTGATTTCTTATGCCACATGCACAAAGAAATAAGAACACTTCTTAGTCAATAAATAATTTTTTAAGTACTCAGCTAACTTGTATTCAAATTCAGACTCTTTCGAGTTGATGATTTATTATCTCATCATAAGGAATTCAGGCAAGGAATAAAATTCAATCATTGTATTTTGTGTATGCATTCAAATGTATGTATCAGATATTACGTGTACACGTGATACATGCGTGTGTATTGCGTGTGCGCGCGCACGCATGCGCGTGTATATGTATGTGTGTATGTATAATGAATTTGGATAAAGGAGATTCAAAAGTACGAATGTATTCTTCAACAAACATATAATCGCTTTTCCCTGATAAAAAACTTTTGAATTACCAAATAAGTATGTTATAGAATAAACAATTTTAGTAAATTTTGATCACAAAAATTAGTATTTGTTTGTATACATTTATGTCTTTATATATCTAAATAGTCGTTTAAGAATGACTATTAAGGTAACATTATCTCAATCTTTTGACATGAAAGATTGTTTGATAATTAAATTTTTTCTATCAATTCAAAATAGAAAATACATAATCTAATGAAAACTTTCAAATGAATACATATGTACTGTTTACTCCATTTTAAGCTTGCTTCATTCTAGCAGACACATACTGGCAAACAGATATGAAAGAATACGATTAATCATTCCGACAGATATTGATGAAAATGGCTTACATTTTTCAATCGTAACAGGAAACATACAAACAATTATAAAATTGTATTCTTTATATTTTAGATTATTAATGTTATTATCATATGTTAATAAAGTACTAAATCATATATAAACTCAAATGTCAATTAATATTTGTGTTGGTTTTGTTAATAATATCTGAAAGGGATTATGTACTATAATGTTATATTTAGGATTAAATTGTAATTATGAAAAATCGAATCTTTGTTTTTAATTATACTTATAAGTAAGTAATAAAATGTGGATGAGATGAATTGTAATAATAAAATGAACAAAAATATAAAAGTACTTTATAGTAATTATTGAAATAATATTATCTATAGAGAGTTTTCATTTATAAAAATAGTATAATTATGTTGCATTTGTATTTTAAAAATCTTAGTTTTATTTATGCATAAGACACATAAAATGTAATATAATGATATTGTTAGAACACCAAGTATAAAGACTATGACTGGTGTTCATAGTCGATTCTTATTTTAAGATTGTCTGAAGTAATGTCTTAATATGCTAATATGACTCTGTAATTGGTTGATAACCTCTTAAGACAATATTTAAGACAATCTAAATATAAGATTCGACTATGAATTCCGATCTATCAAACAGATAGTTAGAATATCAAATTTGTATACTAAGTGATCATATTTTGAATTTAAAAATTAAATTCAAATAAATCTATAAACCTATAAAACAATTAAGAACAAGTTACGACTTAAAATATTTGATGTTAAATATTATATGTTATATTTTTCATTTAATATTGATTTATGCAAGTTAATATTGGAAATTGCAATATTATCGAAAATAAGTAACTTGTTATAGTTATAATTAATAAAAAAGTAACGAGTTACTTTTCAATTCCTTTTCTGTAAATTTCTTGTAATGTTTATGCATAGCTATTTTAAATACAAAAATCTTATATTTCTGACATAACTAAATTATTATCTTATAAGTATTATCTTATAAGAATTTAAAATTAAAATATATTTGACACTTTAACAAAATTAATAATTCATAATAAATTAATTATATATAATCGGAATCAAAATTATGGAATCAATATTTTTCAGCTTAAAATTTGTCAAATTCAAACATAACTTTATGAAAAATTATTATAAATCGATGATCCGAAGCTCGTTTTGTTTTTTTTCTTTTTGAAGTATAAAATATCATCTTAATCATAGTTATTTTTCAAAATAATTTACCAAAGAAGGCTTTTTGGGCTTTTGTTTTTATTAAATTTTATAATTTAGTTTTAATTTAATTAGTAATATTTCTCCATCGATCCGTTTATTTATTTTACAATTTATGTCAAATCTACATCTCGATTCATTTTAGGTCCCAATCTTGGATATTGTGTTGCCTGGAATAGCTTTAATAGATCTTTTAATATTAAAGTTTTGATAAAAAGATATACAATATATCGTAGGAAAAAATGTGAAAAATAAATGGGAATGTAATTCCGTAATTAATTTCAAATTAGTTTGTTCTTAAATGTTATCGCTTTTGCTACGATGCTCTCTAATGCAATGGTATGAGTGACCCATGTAGGTTTTTACTTTCACTTCGGCCATTTCTATTTAATATTGATGAAATCGCATTCGATATTTCGCGAAAGTAAGAGAAGTCGCTTTGTTATTTCAACAATCAAACATCGCTCGTTATCATGTTGCAGACTAAGGTCTTATCGATTACGATATCAATATAATCTCAGAAGATTTTCAAGCTTTCCAGAAATATTTAGTTGATACCATTGTGAAGGAGTAGACACATGTTACGAGGAAACAAGTTTTTGACATAAGGAGTTTACATAAGTCAGTCGTTCAAACACGTATTCTGTAATTATTAACTAAGAGTACTATATATCATTTTATCATAATCTAAATATAATTTGTAGCATATTCTATAAACATAGTAACAATGAACGAATTTAACTGCTCTTATAATAATTTAAAATTTGATGAAGCTTGCGTAAATATAATATCTGACAATAAAAGTTTTAATAAGTGGCTCTATTCGCTCTCTACGGATTGCATATCAGTAAGTACGATTACAATACAATGTATAATCTTTAAAATAATTTTACAACTTTAATTTATAATTTATATTTATAGATACCTGTATTTTTGTGATTAACATTAAATTTTTAATAATAATTTATGACCAATAAATAAAATTTAATATTTAGATTTTTTGAATATTATAAATTTCAAGAATGAGATGTAATCAATTTGGGGAAAATGAAATAGATAAATTAATAACTGATACAGTTAATCCCTTGCACATAATTTTAAACAGATTTTTAGATAACATTTATGTGAGTTTTATCAATATGTAACAACCAATGTATTTCTAATTTTCTGTTATATTTTCTTGATAGTGTCCGTATAAACGAATAGCGCAAATTTCAAATAATGTTAGCTTAAAATTTAGTACAATTAAAGCAATAAAATGGAGAGTGTTAAACAATGATGGGATTGACGAATATGTATCTAGCAAAATTACAAGGTAAATTATTGTTTAATTATTACCTACCTATATTGTTTTTTTTTTTATAAATAATTTTTCTAATTTTAAAAAATACATACACATACATGTATACATATATACCTACAGGATGTTTCATAAAGTGTTACGTATTATTTTCTTGAAATCTATTTAAGATAGTAACAAAATTCTGAATATTTTATTATTATTAGGAATTTTTATTAGGGATACACAGGATATTGTTGTTAAATTTACAAGGAACAGCAGGGAAGCCGACTAAAAATATGCTTAGAAATTGTTCGTTTAGAAATTATTTTGTAATTTATTCCGATATATCTTGAGATAAAATATAAAGTATCTCATAAATTTCATTTATTTCGTGTGTTCAGAATTGTTAAAAGCGTAACGAGAAATGGATGTTCTATTATTTATAGATCACATCTTTAAACATCTTGTTGAATGTCTAGGAAATGTAAACACGTGTAACGTTGGATTATTCTTTCGTGCGAATGTACATTTGCAAATCTTTATAAATTAATTATTTTATTTATTATTATGAAAATTACAAAATAATATAGGATTTTTTTTAATGTGATCTATTCTACTTGTTCATGAAAGGTGCGTTATTAATTATGGGATACTTTGAATATACATACATATGCACACACATACATATACAAGTAAATACATACTATTGCAATAGAAAAATTTGTAATCGTTTTTTAAAAGAAAATAAGTTTTAGATGATTTTGTTTTAGAAATGAAACGCATGTAATTTATGGAACAAATTTTTTATAATATTTAGATTTTATGATGTCAATATCATCGATATATTTTTAAATGCATTAATTTTATTACATATTTTATATTCTATGTACAAATATTTAAGTAGAATTATCAAAGAGTTTTATAATTTATAAAATATTTAATGTTTTATTTTGATATATTTTGATATAAAAATACAAAGTTTAAAATATTTAATTTTTAACGAGGTTGCATTATATATTTGCATTATAAATTTTAATCAAATAAATTAATCAAATAGTTATAGTTAAACAAAGATATGCTATAAAAATATAATATTTATTTATTATTAAGTGAAAGCAATTTACATCGTACGTTTAATTTTAAATTATTTTATAAACTCATTTATTTTGTCAACAAATTATTACATTTTTTATATTTCTTAAATTTTATTTTTTAGTAATATTGTTTGCGAATTGTCACCAAATTTAGAACAGTATGGTTTATACGAATTAGCAGTGAAAAATAATACTTGCAGCTTTAGAACTTTGAAGGACTCAACATATCCATACACAGGTATGTTTTTAAACATTTTCAAGTTTTTAAATAATTAAATATTTTGAAATATAAATGACAAAAATGTCATATGTTTACCAGAATTATATAATTAAAATGAGTAACACCCAACTCACTTTGTTGATAAAGCGTATCTTATGCTTAGTCGCTTTATCATATTTGTTTATTGAATTTAATAACTGGTGATATCAATTGCACAATGCCAATCCAAAAGTGGATTATTTTAATGATCAATTAAGAAGGCAATTAAGATATAATTTTAAATTTTGAATGTCATATTTTTATTGTATATCAATTTGCAAGATAAAACAAAAAGAATTTTGGAATATTTCATGTCATTTTATTTAATATTAATCTTACACAGAATGTCCAAAAATTACCGGATGTCCTGTCACTGACAGGTTTTATGGAATATTTTAAAACTTTTGTACAAAAATATAAGACATAATAATAAATTTAAAAAATAATAGAAATAATGCCCATTAATACCAAAATATTCCTTTTATTTTATTAATTCACTAATTATAGAAAATATTTAATTTCTAATGAACATGAGATCAGTGTAACTTTATGCATTGCTTGTAAAACATTAGAATATATTTGTTTACAGAACTCTTCATTGTTTTGGGAATAATTGTACTTATTTTATGTGGAATATCTGCTGGAAGATCTTTATGGTACTTGATACAAAGACGATGCATAAAAAATGTGGGTGACACATCAAATAATAATGAGCCAACAAAACGTCGTGTAAAAGCTATTGATGCATTCAGAGGGTATGTTATATTATGTTATGTTATATTAGATCAGTTAAAAACATTACAACCATGTTACACATAGCACATTGCGCATATGTGATGTGTAGAAATGAAATTATAAGCAATCATTTTGTAAGCAAATGGAGCTCTCACTTGATTAATTCATAAAAATTTTTTAATATAAACTGATAACTTCTTTTTATAAAAAAAGAAACCCCCGTTACAACTTTTTAACTTATCCAGTACGAATAAATTATATAAATGTAAAATTCTGCTATTTATAGAAGTAGATACATTTCTGTACATTTTTTTTACATTTTACATAATGGCTCATATGTTACAGGGTCAGCATTCTTTTCATGATTTTTGTTAACGATGGCTCTGGTAGTTATTCCATATTGGGACATGCAACCTGGAACGGCTTGTTGATGGGAGATTTAATTTTTCCTTGTTTTATATGGATCATGGGTATTTGTGTCCCTATAGCTTTGTCCGCGCAATTAAAACGTGGAGTGTCTAAGCTTCAAATCAGTTATTCTATCTTAAAGGTAATTGTTGTTAAAAGAATCAGAAAAAGAAAAGGAAGAGATAAAATAAATTTATTTTATAAAATAAAATTAATTTTATAAGATAAATTTTTATAAATTTTATTATAATATTAATATTAATATATTATATGTCATTATATAATATTTTCCTTTGTAGAGAAGTTTTCTTCTGTTTTTAATAGGCGTAGCGCTGAATACATTAGGAACAAACGCGCAATTGGAAAACATACGTATATTTGGAGTTCTTCAACGATTTGGAGTTGCTTATTTATTCGTTGGCCTAATGTATCTTCGTTTGACACCCCAACAATTAAAAACAGATCAGGTATAAAAATTTAAACATATTTATAGATCTTGTAATAAATGTGTTATATTCTGAGTTTCTTTTTTTTTGTATTATTCTTGAATGTAAAATGAAAACAAAACACTATGTTTAGAATAATTATTGATTTATGAAAAATTATAATAATAGCAGGAAATTTTGACTTATCCCATAAATATTTTATATAAAAATATAAAAGAGGTTTTACGACGATAAAACTAATAGAATAGTAGAAAAAGGCTTTCTTGCAAAAGACAAAATATTTAAATGCTAAAAAAGTTTTAAAATTGAACAACGATTAATAACGACCATAATTTTTCAATTAAGTTTCTTTATTTACTACAAAAAATCAATACGAATCAAATATCTACTGATTAATATGAAATTTACGCTTTGATAGACTCTTTTGATAGACTTGAATTGAATATTTCTATGTTTATTTAAATTATGAATTTTATAATTTTTATGAGAAGAACTCATTGCTTTTAATTTATTAATGTACGATGTAATTTTTTCTCATTGACATATTTTTAAAGTTTATTTGATGCAATTTAGTTTTATTGAACAATAATAATATTATGTACAGTTCTTAACAAATTTAACAATGACAATTGTTTATTTCGATAACACAATTCAAATTATCAATACTTAATGATGTAAATATCAACAATTAATGATATAAATTCTTCGCGTATTCATAGAATTCGACTCGGATAGTACGAGAATCGCAAGATATATTAAACCTTTTGCCACACTGGATCGTAATGTTATGTTTAGTATTTACACATTGCTCTTTAACGTTCGGTCTTCCAGTTCCTGGATGTCCCGCGTATGTAAATTAGTTTTTCAATTCTATCTTTTGATTCTTGTTGATAATATATAACAATGAGTTTACATACATTACAGTGGATATCTTGGGCCAGGGGGAAGGCATGAGGACGGAGAATATTTTAATTGCACGGGTGGCGCAGCAGGATACATTGATAAAACTGTACTGACTTTGAATCACATTTATCAGAGACCAACTATCAAATCCGTTTATGGATCCGGTCCTTTTGATCCTGAAGGAATTTTAGGTAATTTTTCTCGTTTTATTATTACAATTGTGTAATACACAATTATTATTACAATTGTGTAATACAATTGTGTAATTATTGAGATATTTGATACTTTTATATTTTGTGCATATTTCATATAATCACAGGATAATGTAGTTATCCTATGCACAAGATAATGTAGTTATATTCTATCGTATCTATGCTGTTGTTTATATTCTCATTATTGGAAATCTTTTTTAATCTCCATGTTGACGCGTTTGTCTTCTTATCATATTTGTTATTTGTCTTATCATATTTCTTATCATATTGTCTTCTTATCATATTTTTCCTTTCTCCTTGAGAGAAATTTCTTTTTTCACTTTTCTTCAATATTATGCTTTTACACATAAATCTTTTATATTATTATTATTATTATTATTATAAGATGTTTTTCTCGTAATGTAATTTTATTTATACGACTTAAAGTGTCCATTGTGTAGGATCTTTTACAATAACAATTTAGATAGTAATTTAGAATTAGTTAAACTTTAAAATCTTATAATCTAATATATTATATATATTACTAATTTAAATTTGAGTTATATGTAACAAATATATGTTTTTTCTAGGATGTCTCACAGCAATATTTCAAGTATTTCTAGGTGTACATGCTGGCATAATTCTGATGATATATAAAAATTGGAAAGAACGTATTATTCGATGGTTATTATGGACAGCGTTTTATGGTTGTCTGGGTTGTAGTTTCCATTTTACCGGCATTATACCCGTTAATAAAAATTTATGGTAAAGTATCAAAATAATCTATTTTTATTACATATTATTATAAGTATTAGTATGTGTAATTTTACTTTGATACTTTATTATTTTGATTCTTGTAAAAATAATGACTTAATAATATTAAGCTACAAATAATTTTTGAAACTTTATAAAATTTATTTATTTTTTCAAAGTCAAAAGAATTTAATGATTAAAATAATTATAAAATTGTTATAAAAATTTTGGAAATTTTTTTATATTTAATAATCTTTTTATAAATAATTACGCAGGTCTTTATCATTCGTATTCGTCTCAACCTCTTTTGCATTGGCTTTTTTTTCTATTTGTTATTTGCTAATCGATGTTATTAAAGTTTGGAGAGGTGGTCCATTTAGAATCCCCGGTGAGTAGAAACACATTTTGTTTGATTTACTTTAAGAATTTATTATTAAGTAATAACCCAATAAATAAATAAATAAATAAATAAATAAATAAATAATTTTAAATACGTTAAACAAACTTAATTTTATCTTGGTATAAAACCACAAAATAATAATTTAATTTATGTCAGCGATAAATTAATATTACAGAATTTAAAGTTTACTTATAAACAAATATGCAAATATATGTATATTTTATACAGTAGTTAAATTAAATTGAATTCAATTGATCTATTAATATCGTACATATATCAAATATATCAATCATTTAGGTATGAATGCACTGGTGTTATACGTGGGTCATAGTATGTGTTATCAAATTTTCCCATTTCATTGGAGGATCGGCGCCATGGATAATCGCGCTTTATGTTTAATTGAATCAATTTGGGTAGTAACTCTCTGGACAATTATAGCGTACATTATGCATCGTAAACGAACATATATAACTCTCTAAATTATATTTATTTATATATAGCGAAATTATTACACTATATTTTTAATTTAATTTAATTTAGTTAAATTTTACATAAACAATACATATTATATTATGTTTATGTTTATAAGATAAAAAGTTACATTAAATAATAATATAGTAAATTATTTACAATAAAACAAAATTTTTAAATAAATAAATGTAATTAGTATTGTATTATTATATGAGCTGTATCTCCCGTTTTGACTACAAAATCTCCCGTTTTGACTGCAAAATTATTAAGAACGAGACATGCTGCAGCTGCAAGAAGCAAATTCTTTTTCAGTCATTATTCGCATCACATCACGCTTGCAATAAACTGCTTTGTTTAACTGTGAATATTTAGTTGCGAGAAATAAATGAGAAGACTGGAAAGAGAAATAAATCCAAACGTGTTTCTGTGATTATGTTACTTCAACATAAAAAGATTGACAATATCAATATTAAACACTGCGTGTCATATGTTACATTTTCGATATATCTTTCTTAGAAGTTTTAAGCATCTAATTGTTTAAATATGATCATAATCAGTTTGAGGATATGATGATAGAATGATCATTAATCGCTCTCGAAACGATTAAAACCTACCGCAGTTGCGCAAAACGCTATACGAATAAAACCAACGAATTAAAATCAATTAATATCAAAAGCAATAAGAAAATGCGATTGACTTAAATACAAACTTTAATACATTAACAGATAAAATATATTAGTTTTTCCTTCGTTTCGTTAGTTCTAATAATAATTTACATATATTTTT